AGGGCGACGTGGGCTTGCAGTCGACGTCGACAGGGGAGGAGCAGGTCGAGAAGCAGGTCGAGGACCAGCGGCCAGCAGAGGAGCAGGCAGCAATGACGCCGACCAAGGAGCAGTCGGCGACCGGGCAGTCGGCAGGGGAGCCGACCATAGGGGAGAAGTCGGCTGGGACGCCGGCTGACGAGCAGCAGGACGTCGAGGGCAGCGGCAATGATGGAGGGGACGCCGAGGAGGTCCAGCCAGGACCACGGCGTTCAGGCCGACTTCGGAGGCCGCCTGACTTCTTCGTCCCCGCTGCCTTCACCACGGTGTACGACGTGGACGATGAGGCCGACGACCTGCTGTACGACGATGCCGAGGAGGATGAAGAGTTTTGAGAGCTCGACCCCGACATGTTAGCCGACCCCGAGCACCGTTGGGACATCTCGACGATGACGGTGAAGGAGGCGTTGGCGAGCTGGAAGGGCCCGGCAGTGAAGGCCGCCATGGAGGAGGAGATTCGCAGCCTCCTCAACATGGGAACGTGGGAGTTGGTCGAACGTCCGCCGGGAGTGAACGTCATGAAGAACCGGTGGGTGTTGACGACGAAGTACCACGTCGACGACACCGTCGAGCGCGAAAAGGCGAGGCTGGTGGTGAAGGGCTTCACGCAGGTGTATGGCGCCGACTACGACGAGACGTTTGCGCCGGTGGGCAGCTACGTCACGCTGAGGATCTTCCTCAGTATCGTCGCCGTCCGCAACCTCAACCTGATGCAGCTCGACATGAAGAACGCCTTCTTGCAGAGCAAGCTCGACAGGGTGCTCTACATGTCCCAGCCAGACTACTTCAACGACGGGATCGGCCGGGTGTGCAAGCTGCTGAAGAGCCTGTACGGGCTAAAGCAGTCGCCGCTGCTGTGGTACTTGGCGCTCAATGACGTGCTGGTCGGCGCCGGGTGGAAGAAGAGCCAGGTCGACGAGGCTCTCTACTGCAAGGTCGGAGAGGACGGAGTGGCCTGCTGGGTGCTGGTCTACGTCGACGACCTACTTGCCGCCAGCAGTAGCACCGCGATGTTGAAGGAGCTGAAGGAGCTGCTGGAAGCCGCCTTCGAGCTGCGTGAGATCTCGCCGGTGCAGAAGTACCTCGGGCTGGAGATCGTCCGCGACAGGTCGGCGGGGAAGCTGTGGCTGCACCAGCAGGGCTACGCCGACAAGCTGCGTAGGCGCTTCATCGACGAGGAGCAGACCGGGCGCACCCCGAAGACGCCGGTCTCTGTCGCCGCCTACGCTGAGCTCACGTTCGATGATGAGGAGGCACAGGAGCGGCAAGAGGAGGAGTACCGGCAGAAGGTCGGCTCGCTGCAGTTCGCGGCGACGACGACGAGGCCGGACATCGCCTTCGCCTGCAGCAAGCTGGGGAGCGGTCTCACGGTGAGGAGCGACCAGCACTGGCGTGAGGTCGACCGCTGCCTCGTCTACCTCGCCAATACGCGTGACACCGCCCTGGAGTTCGGCGGTGGACCTGAGTCGCTGGACCTGGTCGGCTACGTGGACGCCGACGACGCCGGTGACAAGCAGAACAGGACGAGCACGAGTGGCTACGTGTTCGTCTATGGAGGGGCTGCAGTCTCCTGGTCGAGCCAGCGCATCAAGTGTGCGACGTTGTCGTCGACTGAGTCGGAGTACGTGGCAGCCACCGAAGCCGGCAAGGAAGGACGTCGACTTCGTTTCCTCCTTGCAGAGTTCCGGCAGCTGGATGCCGGGAAGCCGACCGTCCTTCGGGTGGACAACAAGTCGGCTATCTCAGTCGCCGAGGGCATGGGGTTGACGGGCAACCTCAAGCACATGGAGCGGCGACAGGCCTGGCTGCAGCACATGGTGAAGCGCGGGAAGTTCTCGTTGAGGTACATCCCAACCACTGAGCAGCCGGCCGACTTCCTGACGAAGGCGCTGCACTATCCGGCCTTCAACCGGTGCTCCGTCGCAATCGGCCAGGTGCGCTTGGCCGACGTGGGCGACGGGGACAACGACGTGCAGCAGTAGGTGCCATGCCCTCTTGCATGGCTTGTGCGGTGGACGACGTGCGGTGTGTTGGGTGCACGTCGACGAGCTATTCTCCGAGGAGTATTGCCGAGTGGACTTGAGGGGGACCAAGCGTGAACGCGGCAGGGGAGTGTCAACGGGAGTTGTATGTTGGCCCCGTCCACGCTTGGGCGGAGCCGACATCGTGGTCGGGTGTTAGGGGAGCAGCCGACCTGCAGCAGTGGGCGAGGTGGTCGACGAGAAGGTCGACCTGCACGGGGACCACTGCACGGGCGCCGACTTCGGGGTGGCGCCAACTTCGGGGAGGTCGACTTAAGCGTCGACCTGCGGAGGACGTCAACTTGGGAAGCCGACTTTGGTGGTCGGCTGATGTGCTGGTCGACCTGCGGGTGGTTGACTGGACCGGTGGTCGACGAAGGAGGGGTCGACGTCGAGTAGCAGGACGTCGAGCAGTCAGGACGTCGAGCAGTCGGGCGTCGAGCAGTCGGGCGTCGAGTGACATGGTCGTCGACCGAGGGGCATGGTCGACCCGGTGAGGTCGACAACGAGGTGGTCGTCGACTTGGGAGGTCGACGGACACGTACGGGAGTTGCTGGTCGATGTGGTTGCCCGGTCGACCAGGTTACCTGGGTGACGAAGTGCTGCGGAGGAGTGCGACGGTCGCCCAGGCGAAGCTGGCGAGACCGACCTTGGTGGTGGTATCACGAGGTCGTCGTGGCAGATCAGAGGTAGCCGTCAGCCCGAGGCTGACGTGGTGTGTGTGTGCTGTGCAGGTGATGAGGCTCGGCATACCAATCATCTGCACGCACCTGCAAAGCGGGTGCACTGCTGGCACACCGTCGACCTGAAGCATTGGCAAGCTGTCGACTTTGCTCTGCTGGAGCGCGGTCGACCAAGTCGTGTTGGAATGCGGTCGACCATGCTGTGCTGGCAATTGACCAACCTGAATGCTAGCTCTGATGTAGTCTTGCATTGCCAACTTCATTGTACCATTGTTGTGATCTTTTCTTAGTGAAACTCTTGCCAAATTGCCCCGTGAACTAGCAAGCAGTGTTAGCACTGGGAAAAGGTCTAAGGACCAACGAACGCAGAGATCACACGAGCACACGTGCCTAGCCAGTAGTCTAGCTCCCGTTGTAGTAGTTATCTCCGCAGCAAGCTCCTGGACCAGGCAAGCTCCTCGACCAGGCAAACTCTTAGACCAGGCAAGCTCCTGGACCACCCAAGCTTCTTGACCAGGCAAACTCGTGGACTAGGCACGCTCCTGGACCAGGCAAGCTCCTGGAATAGGCAAGCCCCTAGACCAGGCAAGCTCCTGGACCAGGCAAGCTCTTGGACCACGCAAGCTCTTGGACCAGGCAAGCTCTTGGACCAGGCAAGCTAGTGGACTAGGCAAGCTTCTGGACCAGGCAAGCTCCTGGACCAGGCAAGCTCTTGGACTAGGCAAGCTCCTGGACCAGGCAAGCTTCTAGACCAGGCAAACTCGTGGACCAGGCACGCTCCTGGACCAGACAAGCTCCTGGACCAAGCAAGCTCCTGGACTAGGCAAGCTCTTGGACCAAGCAAGCTCCTAGACCAGGCAAGCTTCTGGACCAGGCAAACTCGTGGACCAGGCACGCTCCTGAACCACGCAAGTTCCTGGACTAGGCAAGCTCCTAGACCAGGCAAGCACCTCGACCAGGCAAGCTCCAGGACCACGCAAGCTCTTGGACCACGCAAGCTCTTGGACCAGGCAAGCTCCTGGACCAGGCAAGCTCATGAACCAGGCACGCTCCTAGACTAGGCAAGCTCCTGGACCAGGCAAGCTCCTGGACCAGGCAAGCTCCTAGACTAGGCAAGCTCTTGGACTAGGCACGCTCCTAGACCAGGCAAGCTCTTGGATCAGGCAGGCTTCTGGACAAAGCAAGCTCCTGAACTAGGCACACTCCTGGACCGGGCACGCTCCTGGACCAGGCAAGCTCCTAGACCAGGCAAGCTCCAGAACCAAGCAAGCTCCTAGACCAGGCACGCTCGTGGACGAGGCATGCTCCTGAACCAAGCAAGCTCCTAGACCAAGCACGCTCCTGGACCAGGCAAGCTCCTGGACAAGGCAAGCTCCGGGACCACGCATGCTCTTGTACCAGGCACGCTCCTAGACCAGGCAAGCTCTTGCACCATGCACGCTTCTGGACCAAGCAAGCTCCTGGACTAGGCAAGCTTTTGGACCAGGCACGCTCTAGGACCAGGCAAGCTCCTGGACCAGGCAAGCTCCTGAACCAGGCATGCTCCTGGATCAAGCAAGCTCCTGGACCAGGCAAGCTCCTGGACCAGGCAAGCTCATGGACCAGGCAAGCTCCTGGACCAGGCACGCTCCTGGACCAGGCAAGCTCATGGACCAGGCAAGCTCATGGACCAGGCAAGCTCCTGGACCAGGCACGCTCGTGGACTAGGCACGCTCTTAGACCACGCAAGCTCTTGGACCAGGCAGGCTCGTGGACCAGGCACGCTCAGGGACCAGGCAAGCTCCTGGACAAGGCAAGCTCCTGGACCAGGAAGCTCCTGGACCAGGCACGCTCGTGGACCAGGCACGCTCCCGAACAAGGCGAGCTCAAGGACCACGCAAGCTCTTGGACCAGGCATGCTCCTGGACGAGGCAAGCTCTTGGACCATGCAAGCTTGTGGACCAAGCAAGCTCCTGAACCAGGCAAGCTCATGGACCACGCAAGCTCCTGGACCAGGCAAGCTCTTGGACCTAGCAAGCTCTTGGACCAGGCAAGCTCCTGGACCAGGCAAGCTCCTGGACCAGGCACGCTCGTGGACGAGGCACGTTCCTGGACCAGGCAAGCTCTTGGACCAGGCAAGCTCGTGGACCAGGCAAGCTCTTGGACCAGGCAAGCTCCAGATCAGGCAAGCACCTAGACCAGGCAAGCTCCTGGACCAGGCACGTTCCTGGACCAGGCAAGCTCCTGGACCAGGCACGTTCCTGGACCAGGCAAGTTCCTAGACCAGGCAAGCTCCTGGACCAGGCACGTTCATGGACCAGGCAAGCTCCTAGACCAGGCACGTTCCTGGACCAGGCAAGTTCCTGGACCAGGCAAGCTCCATATCAGGCAAGCTCCTAGACCAGGCAAGCTCCTAGACCAGGCACGGTCGTGGACCAGGCACGCTCCTTTCCAGGTCCACATCCACGACCATGTCCACGTCCACGTCCACGTTCACGTCCACGTCCACGACCATGTCCACTTCTACGTGCACGTGTACGTCCACGTCCATGTCCACGTCCACGTCCACGTTCACGTCCACGTCCATGTCCACGTCTTTGCCACGTTCACGTCCACGTCCACGACCATGTCCACGTCCACATTCACGTCCACGTCCACGTCCACGTCCACGTCCACGTCCATGTCCACGTCCACGTCCACGTCCACGTCCACGTCCACGACCATGTCCACGTCCACGTCCACGTCCACGTCCACATCCATGTCCACGTCCAAGTCCTCCACGTCCACGACCACGTCCACGTCCACGTCAACCTCCACGTCCACGACCACGTCCACGTCCACGTCAACCTCCACGTCCACGACCACGTCCACGTCCACGTCCACGTCCACGTCCTCCACGTCCACGTCCACGTCCTCCACATCCACGTCCTCCACGTCCATGTACACGTTCACGTCCACGTCCACGTCCACGTCTACGACCACGACCACATCCACGTCCATGTCCACATCCACGTTCATGTCCACGTCCACGTCCACGTCCACGTCCACGTCCACGTCCACGTCCATGTCCACGTCCACGTCCACATCCACGTCCATGTCCACGTCCACGACCACGTCCACGACCACGACCACGTCCACGTCAAGGTCCACGACCATGTCTACGTCCACGTCCACGTCCACGACCATGTCCACGTCCACGTCCACGTTCACGTCCACGTCCACGTATCAATGTTCACGTCCACGTCCACGTCCACGTCCGCGTCCACGTCCAAGTCCACGTCCGCGACCACGTCCACGTCCACGTCCACGTTCACGTCCACGTTCACGTTCACGTCCACGTGCACGTGCACGTCCACGTTCACGTTCACGTCCACGTTCACGTCCACGTCCACGTCCACGTTCACGTCCACGTCCACGTTCACGTTCACGTTCACGTTCACGTCCACGTCCACGTTCACGTCCACGTCCACGTCCACGTCCACGTCCACGTCCATGTCCACGTCCACGTCCACGTCCACGTCCACGTCCACGTCCACGACCATGTCCACGTCCACGTCCACGTCCACGTCCACGTCCACATCCATGTCCACGTCCAAGTCCTCCACGTCCACGACCACGTCCACGTCCACGTCAACCTCCACGTCCACGACCACGTCCACGTCCACGTCAACCTCCATGTCCACGACCACGTCCACGTCCACGTCCACGTCCACGTCCTCCACGTCCACGTCCACGTCCTCCACATCCACGTCCTCCACGTCCACGTACACGTTCACGTCCACGTCCACGTCCACGTCTACGACCACGACCACATCCACGTCCATGTCCACATCCACGTTCATGTCCACGTCCGCGTCCACGTCCAAGTCCACGTCCGCGACCACGTCCACGTCCACGTCCACGTTCACGTCCACGTTCACGTTCACGTCCACGTGCACGTGCACGTCCACGTTCACGTTCACGTCCACGTTCACGTCCACGTCCACGTCCACGTTCACGTCCACGTCCACGTTCACGTTCACGTTCACGTTCACGTTCACGTCCACGTCCACGTTCACGTCCACGTCCACGTCCACGTCCACGTCCATGTCCACGTCCACGTCCACGTCCACGTCCACGTCCACGTCCACGACCATGTCCACGTCCACGTCCACGTCCACGTCCACATCCATGTCCACGTCCAAGTCCTCCACGTCCACGACCACGTCCACGTCCACGTCAACCTCCACGTCCACGACCACGTCCACGTCCACGTCAACCTCCATGTCCACGACCACGTCCACGTCCACGTCCACGTCCACGTCCTCCACGTCCACGTCCACGTCCTCCACATCCACGTCCTCCACGTCCACGTACACGTTCACGTCCACGTCCACGTCCACGTCTACGACCACGACCACATCCACGTCCATGTCCACATCCACGTTCATGTCCACGTCCACGTCCACGTCCACGTCCACGTCCACGTCCATGTCCACGTCCACGTCCACGTCCATGTCCACGTCCACGACCACGTCCACGACCACGACCACGTCCACGTCAAGGTCCACGACCATGTCTACGTCCACGTCCACGTCCACGACCATGTCCACGTCCACGTCCACGTTCACGTCCACGTCCACGTATCAATGTTCACGTCCACGTCCACGTCCGCGTCCACGTCCACGTCCACGTCCGCGACCACGTCCACGTCCACTTCCACGTTCACGTCCACGTTCACGTTCACGTCCACGTGCACGTGCACGTCCACGTTCACGTTCACGTCCACGTCCACGTCCACGTTCACGTCCACGTCCACGTTCACGTTCACGTTCACGTTCACGTCCACGTCCACGTCCACGTTCACGTTCACGTCCACGTCCACGTGCACGTCCACGTCCACGTCCACGTCCACGTCCACGTCCACGTCCACGACCACGTCCACGTCCACGTCCACGTCCATGTCCACGACCACGTCCATGTCCACGTCCACGTATCAATGTCCACGTCCACGTCCACGTCCACAACCACGTCCACGACCACGTCAACGCCCACGTCCACGTCCACGTCCACGTCCACGCCCACGTCAACGCCCACGTCCACGTCCACGTCCACGTCCACGTCCATGTCCACGACCACGTCCACGTCCACGTCCATGTCCACGTCCACGTCCACGTCAACGTCCACGTCCACGTCCATGTCCACGTCCACGACCACGTCCACGACCACGACCACGTCCACGTCAAGGTCCACGACCATGTCTACGTCCACGTCCACGTCCACGACCATGTCCACGTCCACGTCCACGTCCACGTCCACGTCCACGTCCACGTATCAATGTTCACGTCCACGTCCACGTCCACGTCCGCGTCCATGTCCACGTCCACGTCCACGTCCACGTTCACGTCCACGTTCACGTTCACGTCCACGTGCACGTCCACGTCCACGTTCACGTTCACGTCCACGTTCATGTCCACGTCCACGTTCACGATCACGTTCACGTTCACGTTCACGTCCACATTCACGTCCACGTTCACGTCCACGTCCACGTTCACGTCCACGTCCACGTTCACGTTCACGTTCACGTCCACGTGCACGTCCACGTCCACGACCACGTCCACGTCCACGTCCACGACCACGTCCACGTCCGCGTCCACGTATCAATGTTCACGTCCACGTCCACGTCCCCGTGCACGTTCACGTCCACGTCCACGTCCACGTCCACGTCCGCGTCCACGTCCGCGTCCACGTCCGCGTCCACGTCCGCGTCCACGTCCGCGTCCACGTCAGTCCACGTCCAAGTCCTCCACGTCCAAGTCCTCCACGTCCACGACCACGTCCACGTCCACGTCCACGACCACGTCCACGACCACGTCCACGTCCACGACCACGTCCACGACCACGTCCACGTCCACGACCACGTCCACGACCACGACCACGTCCACGTCCACGTCCATGTCCAAGTCCTCCACGTCCATGACCACGTCCACGTCCACGTCCACGTCCACGTCCAAGTCCTCCACGTCCAAATCCTCCACGTCCATGACCACGTCCACGACTACGTCCACGTCCATGTCCACGTCCACGTCCACGACCACGTCCACGTCCACGTGCACGACCACGTCCACGTCCACGACCACGTCCACGACCATGTCCAGGTCCACGTCCACGTCGATATCCACGTCCATGTCCACGTCCACGTCCACGTCCACGTCCACGTCCACGACCACGTCCACGTCCACCTCCACGTCCAAGTCAACGACCACGTCAACGTCCACGTCTACGTCCATGTCCACGTCCACGTCCACGTCCATGTCCACGACCACGTTCACGTCCACGTCCACGTCCACGTCCATGTCCACGTCAACGTCCACGTCCACGTCCACGTCAACGTCCACGTCCACGTCCACGTCCACGTCCACGTCTACGTCCACGTCCACGTCCACGTCCACGACCATGTCTACGTCCACGTCAAGGTCCACGACCATGTCTACGTCCACGTCCACGTCCACGACCATGTCCACGTCCACGTCCACGTTCACGTCCACGTCCACGTATCAATGTTCACGTCCACGTCCACGTCCGCGACCACGTCCACGTCCACGTCCGCGACCACGTCCACGTTCACGTTCACGTCCACGTCCACGTCCACGTCCACGTTCACGTTCACGTCCACGTCCACGTCCACGTTCACGTCCACGTCGTTCACGTTCACGTTCACGTTCACGTTCACGTTCACGTCCACGTCCACGTCCACGTTCACGTTCACGTCCACGTCCACGTGCACGTCCACGTCCACGTCCACGTCCACGTCCACGTCCACGACCACGTCCACGTCCACGTCCACGTCCACGTCCACGACCACGTCCACGTCCACGTCCACGTATCAATGTTCACGTCCACGTCCACGTCCGCAACCACGTCCACGACCACGTCAACGCCCACGTCCACGTCCACGTCCACGTCCACGCCCACGTCAACGCCCACGTCCACGTCCACGTCCACGTCCACGTCCACGTCCACGACCACGTCCACGTCCACGTCCACGTCCACGTCCATGTCCACGTCCACGTCCACGTCCACGTCCACGTCCATGTCCACGTCCACGACCACGTCCACGACCACGACCACGTCCACGTCAAGGTCCACGACCATGTCTACGTCCACGTCCACGTCCACGACCATGTCCACGTCCACGTCCACGTCCACGTCCACGTATCAATGTTCACGTCCACGTCCACGTCCACGTCCGCGTCCATGTCCACGTCCACGTCCACGTCCACGTTCACGTCCACGTTCACGTTCACGTCCACGTGCACGTCCACGTCCACGTTCACGTTCACGTCCACGTTCATGTCCACGTCCACGTTCACGATCACGTTCACGTTCACGTTCACGTCCACGTTCACGTCCACGTCCACGTTCACGTCCACGTCCACGTTCACGTCCACGTCCACGTTCACGTTCACGTTCACGTCCACGTGCACGTCCACGACCACGTCCACGTCCACGTCCACGTCCACGACCACGTCCACGTCCGCGTCCACGTATCAATGTTCACGTCCACGTCCACGTCCACGTCCCCGTGCACGTTCACGTCCACGTCCACGTCCGCGTCCACGTCCGCGTCCACGTCCGCGTCCACGTCCCCGTCCACGTCCGCGTCCACGTCAGTCCACGTCCAAGTCCTCCACGTCCAAGTCCTCCACGTCCACGACCACGTCCACGTCCACGACCACGTCCACGTCCATGACCACGTCCACGTCCACGACCACGTCCACGACCACGTCCACGTCCACGACCACGTCCACGACCACGACCACGTCCACGTCCACGTCCACGTCCACGTCCAAATACTCCACGTCCAAGTCCTCCACGTCCACGACCACGTCCATGACCACGTCCACGTCCACGTCCACGTCCACGTCCAAGTCCTCCACGTCCAAGTCCTCCACGTCCATGACCACGTCCACGACCACGTCCACGTCCACGTCCATGTCCACGTCCACGTCCACGACCACGTCCACGTCCACGTGCACGACCACGTCCACGTCCACGACCACGTCCACGACCATGTCCAGGTCCACGTCCACGTCCATATCCACATCCATGTCCACGTCCACGTCCACGTCCACGTCCACGACCACGTCCACGTCCACGTCCACCTCCACGTCCAAGTCAACGACCACGTCCTCCACGTCCATGTCCACGTCCACGTCCACGTCCACGTCCACGTCCACGTCCACGCCCACGTCCACGTCCACGTCCATGTCCACGTCCACGTCCACGTCCACGTCCACGTCCACGTCCACGTCCACGTCCATGTCCACGTTCATGTCCACGTCCATGTCCACGTCCATGTCCACGTCCACGTCCATGTCCACGTCCACGTCCATGTCCATGTCCACGTCCACGTCCACGTCCACGTCCATGTCCATGTCCACGTCCACGTCCACGTCCACGTCCACGTCCATGTCCACGTCTACGTCCACGTCCACGTCCACGTCCATGTCCACGTCCATGTCCACGTCCACGTCCACGTCCACGTCCACGTCCATGTCCACGTCCAGGTCCACGTCCATGTCCACGTCCACGTCTATGTCCACGTCCATGTCCACGTCCACGTCCACGTCACGTCCACGTCCACGTCCACGTCCATGTCCACGTCCATGTCCAAGTCCATGTCAACGTCCATGTCCACGTCCATGTCCAAGTCCATGTCCACGTCCAAGTCCACGTCCATGTCCACGTCCATGTCCACGTCCAAGTCCTCCACGTCCACGTCCACGTCCATGTCCACATCCACGTCCATGTCCACGTCCACGATCACATCAATCCACATCCAAATCCTCCACGTCCAAGTCCTCCACGTCCACGTCCACGTCCATGTCCATGTCCACGTCCACGTCCAGGTCCACGTCCACGTCTACGTCCATGTCCAGGAGCTTGCCTCGTCCAAGAGCTTGCCTTGTCCAAGAGCTTGCGAGGTCTAGGAGCTTGCCTAGTCTAGGAGCTCGCCTGGTCCAAGACCTTGCCTGGTCGAGGAGCGTGCCTGGTTCAGGAGCTTGCCTTTTCCACGAGCGTGCCTGGTTCAGGAGCTTGCCTTGTCCACGAGCTTTCTTGGTCCGTGAGCTTGCCTGGTCCAGGAGCTTGCGAGGTCCAGGAGCTTGCCTGGTCCAAGAGCTTGCCTGGTCCAAGAGCTTGCGTGGTCCAGGAGCTTGCCTGGTCCAAGAGCTTGCCTGGTCTAGGAGCTTGCCTAGTCCAGGAGCTTGCCTAGTCTAGGATCTTGCCTGGTCCAAGAGCTTGGGTGGTCCACGAGCTTGCCTGGTCTAGGAGCTTGCCTGGTCCAGGAGCTTGCCTGGTCCTGGAGCGTGCCTAGTCTACGAGTTTGCCTGGTCCAGAAGCTTGCCTGGTCTAGGAGCTTGCATGGTCCAGGAGCGTGCCTAGTCCAGGTGCTTGCTTGGTCCAGGAGCTATCCTGGTCCAGGAGCTTGCCTGGTCCAGGAGCTTGCCTGTTCGAGGAGCGTGCCTGGTCCAAGAGCTTGCCTGGTCCAAGAGCGTGCATGGTCCACGAGCGTGCCTGGTCCATGAACTTGCCTGGTCCAGGAGCTTGCCTAGTCAAGGAGCTTGCCCCGTCCAGGAGCTTGCCTGGTCCAGGAGCTTGCATGGTTCAGGAGCTTGTCTGGTCTAGGAGCTTGTCTAGTCCAGGTTCGTGCCTGGTCCACGAGTTTGCCTGGTCCAGAAGCTTGCCTGGTCCAGGAGCTTGCCTGGTCTAAGAGCTTGCATGGTCCAGGAGCGTGCCTGGTCCAAGAGCTTGCCTGGTCCATGAGCTATCCTTGTCCAGGAGCTTGCCTGGTCCAGGAGATTGCCTGGTCTAAGAGCTTGCCTGTTCTAGGAGCGTGCCTGGTCCAAGAGCTTGCCTAGTCCAAGAGCGTGCATGGTCCACGAGCGTGCCTGGTCCAGGAGCTTGCCTGGTCCAGGAGCTTGCCTGGTCAAGGAGCTTGCCTGGTCCAGGAGCTTGCCTGGTCCAGGAGCTTGCCTGGTCCACGAGACTGCCTGGTCCAAGAGCTTGCCTCGTCCAGGAGCGTGCACGGTCCACGAGCGTGCCTGGTCCAGGAGTTTCCCTGGTCCAGGAGCTTGCGTGGTCCAATAGCTTGCTTGGTCCAGAAGCCTGCCTGGTCCAAGAGCTTGCCTGGTCTAGGAGTGTGCCTGTTCCAAGAGCTTGCATGATCCAGGAGCTTGCGTGGTCGAGGAGCTTGCCTGGTCCAGGAGCTTGACTGGTCCAGGAGCTTGCCTGGACCAAGAGCTTGCCTGGTCCAAGAGCTTGCGTGGTCCTGGAGCTTGCCTGGTCCAGGAGCTTGCCTGGTCTAGGAGCTTGCCTGGTCCACGAGCTTGCCTCGTCCAGGAGCGTGCCAGGTCCAGGAGTTTGCCTGGTCCAGAAGCTTGCCTGGTCCAGGAGCTTGCATGCTCCAGGAGCGTGCCTGGTCCAGGAGCTTGCCTGGTCCAGGAGCTATCCTGGTCCAGGAGCTTGCCTGGTCCAGGAGCTTGCGTGGTCCAGGAGCTTGCCTGGTCCAGGAGCTTGCCTCTTCCACGAGCATTCCTGGTCCAGGAGCTTGGCTTGTCTAGGAGCTTTCTTGGTCCGTTAGCTTGCCTGGTACAAGAGCTTGCTTAGTCCAGGAGATTTCCTGGTCCAAGAGCTTGCCTGGTCCAGTAGCTTGCCTGGTCCAACAGCTTGCCTGGTCCAGGAGCTTGCGTGGTCCAATAGCTTGCTTGATCCAGAGGCCCAAGAGCTTGCCAGGTCCACGAGCGTGCCTGGTCCAAGAGCTTGCGTAGTGCAGGAGCTTGCGTGGTCCAGGAGCTTGCCTGGTCCAAGAGCTTGCCTGGTCCAGGAGCTTTGCATGGTCCAAGAGCTTGCCTGGTCAAGGAGCTTGCCTGGTCTAGGAGCTTGCCTGGTCCAGGAGCTTGCCTGGTCCAGGAGCGTGCCTGATCCACGAGTTTGCCAGGTCCAGAAGCTTGCCTGGTCTAGGAGCTTGCCTAGTCTAGCAGCTTGCATGGTCCAGGAGCTTGCCTGGTCCAGGAGTTGCCTGTTCCACGAGTGTGCCTGGTCCTGGAGCTTGCCTTGTCCAAGAGCTTTCTTGGTCCGTTAGCTTGCCTCGTCCAGGAGCTTGCCTGGTCCAGGAGCGAGCATGGTCTACGAGCGTGCTTGGTCCAGGAGCTTGCCTAGTCCAGGAGCTTGCCTGTTCAAGGAGCTTGCCTGGTTCGGGAGCTTGCCTGGTCCTGGAGCTTGCATGGTCCACGAGCCTGCCTGGTCCAAGAGCTTGCCTGGTTTAAGAGCGTGCATGGTCCACGAGTGTGCCTGGTCCAGGAGCTTGCCTGGTCCAGGAGCTTGCCTGGTCCAAAAGCTTGCTTGGTCCAGAAGCCTGCCTGGTCCAAGAGCTTGCCTGGTCAAGGAGCGTGCCTGGTCCAAGAGCTTGCGTGGTCTAGTAGCTTGCGCGGTCCAGGAGCTTGCCTGGTCCACGAGCTTGCCTGATCCACGAGCTTGCCTGGTCCACGAGCTTGCCTGGTCCAGGAGCTTGCCTGGTCCAGGAGCTTGCCTGGTCCATGAGCTTGCCTGTTCCACGAGCGTGCGTGGTCTAGGAGCTTGCCTTGTCTAGGAGCTTTCTTGGTCCAAGAGCTTGCCTGGTCCAGCAGCTTGCCTGGTCCAAGAGCTTGCCTGGTCCAAGAGCTTGCCTGGTCCAGGAGCTTGCCTGGTCCAGGAGCTTGCCTGGTCCAAGAGCTTGCCTGGTTGAGGAGCTTGCCCGGTCCACGAGCTTGCCTGGTCCAGGAGCGTGTCAATCCACTAGCTTGCGTGGTCCAAGAGCATGCCTGGTCCAGGAGTGTGCCTGGTCTACGAGCGAGCCTGGTCCAGGAGCTTGCCTGGTCTAGGAGCTTGCCTGGTCAAGGAGCTTGCCTGGTCCGGGAGCTTGCCTGGTCCAGGTGCTTGCTTGGTCCACGAGCCTGCCTGGTCCAAGAGCTTGCCTAGTCCAAGAGTGTGCATGGTCCACGAGCGTGCCTGGTCGAGGAGCTTGCCTAGTCCAAAAGCTTGCTTGGTCCAGAAGCCTGCCCGGTCCAAGAGCTTGCCTCGTCCAGGAGCGTGCCTGGTCCAAGAGCTTGCGTGGTCTAGGAGCTTGCGTGGTCCAGGAGCTTGCGTGGTCCACGAGCTTGCCTGGTCCAAGAGCTTGCCTTGTCCAAGAGCTTGCCTGGTCCAAGAGCTTGCATGGTCTAGGAGCTTGCCTGGTCCACGAGCTTGCCTGGTCTAGGAGCTCTCTTGGTCCAGGAGCTTGCCTGGTCCAGGAGCGTGCCTGGTCCAAAAACTTGCTTGGTCCAGGTGCTTCCCTGGTCTAGGAGCTTGCATGGTCCAGGAGCGTGCCTGGTCTAGGAGCTTGCCTGGTCCAGGAGCTATCCTGGTCCAGGAGCTTGCTTGGTCCAGGAGCTTGCCTGGTCCAGGAGCTTTCCTGTTCCATGAGCGTGCCTGGTCCAGGAGCTTGCCTTGTCGAGGAGCTTTCTTGGTCCAAGAGCTTGCCTGGTCCAGGAGCTTGCCTGGTCCAGGAGCTTGCCTGGTCCAAGAGCTTGCCTGATCTAGGAGCTTGCCTGGTCCAGGAGCTTGCCTGGTCCAGGAGCTTGCGTGGTCCAAGAGCTTGCCTCGTCGAGGAGCTTGCTTGGTCCACGAGCTTGCCTGGTCCAGGAGTGTGCCTGATCCACGAGCTTGCCTGGTCCAGGAGTGTGCCTGATCCACGAGCTTGCCTTGTCCAGGAGCGTGCCTGGTCTACGAGCGAGCCTAGTCCAGGAGCTTGCCTGGTCCTGGAGCTTGCCTGGTCAAGGAGCTTTTGTGGTCCAGGAGCTTGCCTGGTCCACGAGCCTGCGTGATCCAAGAGCTTGCCTGGTCCAGGAGCGTGCATAGTCCACGAGCGTGCCTGGTCCAGGAGCTTGCCTGGTCCATGAGCTTGCCTGGTCCACGAGCCTGCCTGGTCCAAGAGCTTGCCTGGTTCAGGAGCGTGCATGGTCCACGAGCGTGCCTGGTCTTGGAACTTGCGTGGTCTAGGACCTTGCCTGGTCCAAGAGCTTGCGTGGTCCAGGAGCGTGCCTGGTCCGAGAGCTTGCGTAGTCCAGGATCTTGCATGGTCCAAGAGCTTTCCTGGTCCAGGAGCTTGCCTGGTCCAGGAGCTTGCCTCGTCCAAGAGCTTGCCTGGTTCAAGAGCTTGCGAGGTCCAGGAGCTTGCCTGGTCCAGGAGCTTGCCTGGTCTAGGAGCTTGCCTGGTCAAGGAGCTTCCTTGGTCCAGGAGTGTGCCTGGTCCACGAGTTTGCCTGGTCCAGAAACTTGCCTGGTCCAGGAGCTTGCCTGGTCTAGGAGCTTGCATGGTCCAGGAGCGTGCCTGGTCCAGGAGCTTGCCAGGTCGAGGAGCTATCCTGGTCCAGGAGCTTGCCTGGTCCAGGAGCTTGCTTGGTCCAGGAGCTTGCCTGTTCCACGAGCGTGCCTGGTCCAAGAGCTTGCCTTGTCCAGGAGCTTTCTTGGTCCAGGAGCTTGCCTGGTCCAGGAGCTTGCCTGGTCAAGAGCTTGCCTGGTCGAGGAGCTTGCCCGTTCCACGAGCTTGCCTGGTCCAGGAGCGTGTCGATCCACTAGCTTGCCTGGTCCAAGAGCGTGCCTGGTCCAGGAGTGTGCCTGGTCTACCAGCGAGCCTGGTCCAGGAGCTTGCCTGGTCCAGGAGCTTGCCTGGTCAAGGAGCTTGCCTGGTCCGGGAGCTTGCCTGGTCCAGGAGCTTGCCTGGTCCATGAGCCTGCCTGGTCCAAGAGCTTGCCTGGTCCAAGAGCGTGCATGGTCCACGAGCGTGCCTGGTCAAGGAGCTTGCCTGGTCCAAAAGCTTGCTTGGTCCAGAAGCCTGCCCGGTCCAAGAGCTTGCCTGGTCCAGAAGCGTGCCTGGTCCAAGAGCTTGCGTGGTCTAGGAGCTTGCGTGGTCCAGGAGCTTGCCTGGTCCACGAGCTTGCCTGGTCCAAGAGCTTGCCTGGTCCAAGAGCTTGCCTGGTCCAAGAGCTTGCGTGGTCTAGGAGCTTGCCTGGTCTAGGAGCTTGCCTGGTCTAGGAGCTCTCCTGGTCCAGGAGCTTGCCTGGTCCAGGAGCGTGCCTGGTCCACGAGTTTGCCTGGTCCAGAAACTTGCTTGGTCCAGGAGCTTGCCTGGTCTAGTAGCTTGCATGGTCCAGGAGTGTGCCTGGTCCAGGAGCTTGCCTGGACCAGGAGCTATCCTGGTCCAGGAGCTTGCCTGGTCCAGGAGCTTGCCTGGTCCAGGAGCTTGCCTTGTCCAAGAGCTTGCCTGGTCTAGAGCTTGCCTGGTCCAGGAGCTTGCCTCGTCCAGGATCTTGCCTGGTCCAAGAGCTTGCCTGGTCGAGGAGCTTGCTTGGTCCACGAGCTTGCCTGGTCCAGGAGTGTGCCTGATCCACGAGCTTGCCTGGTCCAAGAGTGTGCCTTGTCCAGGAGCGTGCCTGGTCTAGGAGCTTGCTTGGTCAAGGAGCTTGTGTGGTCCAGGAGCTTGCCTGGTCCACGAGCCTGCCTGGTCCAAGAGCGTGCATAGTCCACGAGCGTGCGTGGTCCAGGAGCTTGCCTGGTCCAGGAGCTTGCCTGGTCCAGGAGCTTGCCTGGTCCACAAGCCTGCCTGGTCCAAGAGCTTGCCTCGTTCAGGAGCGTGCATGGTCCACGAGCGTGCCTAGTCTTGGAGCTTGCCTGGTCTAGGACCTTGCCTGGTCCAAGAGCTTGCGTGGTCCAGGAGCGTGCCTAGTCCGAGAGCTTGCGTAGTCCACGAGCTTGCATGGTCCAAGAGCTTGCCTGGTCCAGGAGCTTGCCTGGTCCAGGAGCTTGCCTCGTCCAAGAGCTTGCCTGGTCCAAGAGCTTGCGAGGTCCAAGAGCTTGCCTGGTCCAGGAGCTTGCCTGGTCTAGGAGCTTGTGTGGTCCAGGAGCTTGCCTGGTCCACAAGCCTGCCTGGTCCAAGAGCGTGCCTGGTCCGAGAGCTTGCGTAGTCCAGGAGCTTGCATGGTCCAAGAGCTTGCCTGGTCCAGGAGCTTGCCTGGTCCAGGAGCTTGCCTCGTCCAAGAGCTTGCTTGGTCCAAGAGCTTGCGAGGTCCAGGAGCTTGCCTGGTCCAGGAGCTTGCCTGGTCTAGGAGCTTGCCTGGTCAAGGAGCTTCCTTGGTCCACGAGCGTGC